TTTAAATTCGTTTTTAAAAATACTGTATACCATCACAGTTGTTAAAGTATTATGTTGGAACTAGAAAGCAATCAATTGTGAAAACATTTTAATTTTCTTTTAATGATACAAACATTTAAGAACTACACATCTAACAATCTAATTTAATTAGTTTAAAAATACTTTGGTAAATATCATGATTTAGTTATCAAAGGAATAATAATAATAACTAAAAAATATAGGTAAATCAGAAACAAATTTTTTTGTACATAATAAAGGAAATTATTTTAATATATTTGAATAATTTTCTTAACAAACAAAAGCATATATTATTTGAATATAACAAATGCATAGCCCAACAAAAAAAGTTACAAATTACAAATAGTGGTAATTTGTTAAATCTTTTGAGAATGTTTGCTAAACATGTGCATTTTATAATTTACTGGTTGTTTGAAATACTTCTGACACTCGTGACAATAAAATTTAGGAACAACACCACATTCATATTTCTGATGAGTAGACAATCCTCCCCTGTATTTGTATTTTTTTCCACACTGCGAACAATTATGCATACCTACATACACATTTACACAAAAAACATTAATAATTAGATAAATTGAATAGGCAAAATTAAAATATACTTTTTAGTCAACCATTATTATACTGATTGAAAACCATATTATTGGTTTTAAATTAAGCAATGCCCAGAGTATTAATAAATAAATTATTATTAGTTTTGCATAGTTTTAGACTTTGAGCAGAGTGAGGAATGTATCAGTTTTACAATAATAATTTTTTTTTTCTGTGAACCACTATTTTACCAGAAATCTTGATCCTATTTTGAAGTGTAGCATATTTTCTGAAAATAAATTTTATCTAGGCAGTACTAGATAATAATAAATGTGATAAAGCTTGAAAATTTACAAAATTTATTATTTCCAAATCGTAAATATTGAAGCCATTCAAAACATGAAACCCAAACTCTGCTCAGAATCAATTTTCGTAAGCAATGATTAATTTGTGCACACATATATACATTGAATTTCCTTTC